AATATTTCCATATTTTATTATTTTGTAGATTTTTTTTTTTTTTTTTTTTTTTTTTTGGAGCAACATAGTACTTCTCATTCCAACTGAGACCGCTGGGGCCCGGGAACACACACCTACGTATCAACCCGGTACAAACTTGCTGAGGTCATTGCTCAGCTTAGGCTCCTGGAAACTGGGTCAAGTGTACCTTAGAGGAATCTCCAAAAAGGAAAAAATTGCAAAGCAAATCTGTGACCATACAGTATCCTTGCTACTCAGGAAAACACCCGCATGTTTCTAAAATAGAAACACTATTGGCAAAGAACTATGAGCTATATACAGCAAATCTCGAGAATGCCCGAGGAAATTCGCGAAAATTTACAAATCAACCCTAAAATTATTTCCAAGATCGTGCTAGAAGATGAGCTCAAAAAAAGAAAAATAGAAAAACAAAGCTGTAACAGTTCTGCTTTTTGCAGTTTCTAACTGCCCTCCCTGGGCCCAGTACTGCAGTGCCCTGTTGATAAATTCTTAGATACAAATCAACTCTAAAGTTATGTCCAAATATGTGCTAAATTCTTAGATCCTGACTAGATACTGAGGCCGAGCGCATTAATATTGTCAACAGAAAAATGGATGATTGAAAACAGCCAAGAGAACGGCCACATATAGAGAGTCCAAGGGAATTCAAAGAGAGGAAGAGATTAGTAACCGCGAGCACAGCATATACGAGTGGGGAAGATAGGGGCCGGATTTTCGACACAGCATATACGAGTGGGGAAGATAGGGGCCGGATTTTCGACAATGGCACAAGGTCGAGCGTAGGACACTCCCCTCACCACTCAAGGCATGGGTGACCCTGTGTCACTGTCCCTGCTCTTGGAGATCAGCCACTCTTAGGAGGTGGACGAGCTGTGTCTTCAAATGCGGTTATGGCTGGGAAATGTTTTACCCTTTGCGCCCGGGAAACGTTCCCACCGGGCCACCGCCACTAGTGAGTCTCCCACTTCCGCTGATGGCACCACCCCCCATAGGACTTCACGGCTTTAAGTACCCAGCTAAGATCTCGTTCCTTAAACATGTTGATTTCCCAGATTCTACCATACGTATGTAACTTAATGTAAGTGCTGAAAAATATGAGCCGGAGTTCCCAGGGTGACCACAGGTCGAGAGTAGACCACTCCCCACGCCACTCACTCAAGGCATGGGTGACCCTGCATCACTGTTTCCTGCGCTTGAAGAGCAAACACTTTCAGGAAATAAACTTCAGTGTCTCGGTAGGCAGAATGTCAAAACCTTCCTAATATCAACTAAGTGTGCCTCGTGGTTGATTATCTACATAAGTGTGCCTCGTGGTTGATTATCTACATACTTGGCTCTCACTCGAAATATAACGAGTCTAAAAGCAACCTTATTTGTAACCATTCACAGGCACTGTGGCCAAAGAGAACCAAATTAGGTGAGAAAACAGAACATGAGGTAAATGCACTAAGGATGTAGGAAGAAGATCTGGCAGTTACATTCGAGTACCTCAGCACAGATTATAACCTAATTCCTTCAACTGGTGCAGCCCGACTAAAAGCACTGCCCGACAAGAACAGAGCAAAAGAGGCTGTCGGCACAATCCATATCAGACAACCGTGCAACTAGTATATGCCGCAAGGAAGAATAAAAGCTCATTTCGAAGGGCTATCCCTAATTCTACGAGTTTAACCAACAGACGGGCTGAGTGCCAAACGTAAGAACTCAAACCCATGAATCTACAAGACCAGGAAACTAGCCCCACAATTTTCACTTGAAAAGGCTAGCACTCCCGTTCTTGGAGTTGCCGACGTGGTCCCACCATTACTGCACACCCTCCCACTGCCCACAGCAATGCCGCCCCGTTACTTCTACGTTACCCCGGCCTCTCCAGGACATAGAAAATGCATTGAGCCGAAGACATGCTTAATACTTCAGCGAAGGCAAAACATGCGGTAGGCACAGTCGTAGTCACAGCAACATGGCATCAGAGGGTCAAGCGAGAAGCAAGTAAAGAGAGAGTAGGCACACCAAGGAAAGAAAGAAGAAAGACTGACAAACAGGTCTCCCGAACGCGACCCTGAAGAGTCATCATAAGAATATTCAATGAAGTAACGCCTCATTC